CGGGGTACACACACACACAGCCCTGTGACAATATGCGTTTTTAATGCTGTTACACAGCACAAAACGCATAAAAATTGTGACGAGGGAAGCGATAGTCGATGGTGCTAGCTAAGGAGCATACAGACTTACGGTATAGTGTGTTCTGGAACAGGCTGGCTGGGTCACTGAAGATTCCAGGATGATATTTCCGAGTTATTCGATGTTAATAAAGTAGTGTGTACCTGAATACTTCGGTGATAGCAACAGTGCAATGAGCGGCGGCTGCACGAAGCACCGGCGCTATGTAGAATTGACTTTGCGCCCAGACGTATCCTCGAGTATTGTGCACCAGGCGATAATATCCCGTGGTCGACTGATTCTTGTGCAGCACTATAAAACTACTGCATGATGATTCCCGTACACTTCAATCACCCGGTCAACCGAAACACTTTTATTAGTGCGGGCACAGATTTTTAAAGATGAAATAAGCCCTTGGACGTGTTTACACTGATATAATACTGATAAATGACGGTGGTGTACGATGTTTTGGATACGATTGGCGCCCTTATAGCCTGACAGAAATTTTCTGTCAAAACGGATGTCGACAAATCCGAATCGTGACATTTGGCATACGTGAAAGCTTGACTGAAATCTCCACGTGGACAGGTGGGAAGTGCGCTTCTAAAATTTCATCTGTCTTCTGGTTCCGAAGCTGAAAACTCGCCAAACATAAGCTTATGTGGAAGCTGAATTTAAATTTTCGCAGCTGCATATGGACGTGAAACATCTTCACTCTATTTCAGCTTTCTGTCTTGTCTGGTTCTGAAGTTTGGAAGAAGCGACCATTTTTGCAGTTACAACTTTCATGCATCTAGAAGTACGATCTATGTGCACCATTAGCACCGATTTAAGGCCGGCCTTGGCAGACATGATCAAAAAACATTCTCCACAGTTCTCAGCTTCGTAGTTTCTCTGGTTGCTGTTTTGAAGAATCCGAACAAATATTCGAGTATACACAAAAACAACAGGACCTTGTGTATGTTTTTTGCGCTTTGATACAAAATGAATATGAATAACAGTGTGCACCCGAATATCGTTTTGAGCAATTCCATCCGCCAAACAATTGCCTTTTAGTGATTTTCACTGTTTTATGTTTTAGTCTGTGCAAAAATAGTTGAAAAGTTGAAACATAGTTAAAAATTTCACACCGACACGTGAAAGTTAAATTTAAAACTTCGAAGCGTGAATATCCTTCTTTAAAATTTCAGTCTCCTAATTTTTTGGCTTTTGAATGGCCTTTGAGACAAAACTTTCACTTAATCGTATGTAAAATGTAGGCATACTTAGGAACTGAATTCAAGTTTGTGAAGCCTCTGCTTAGGTAGGAAAAATCCTCCCGAAATTTTCAGCCTCCTAGCTCTTCCATCTCCCGAGATAATGATTTTTCTCGCCAAAACTTTCACGGAGACGCTGGAAATTTGCGGAGTTGCATATGGGCAGGAGATGCCGCGCTACAGTTTCAACTTCCTAACTTTTGTAATTTACGCAACAATTTTCCCACCAAAACTTTCACGGGGCCGTACGTGGTACCCAAGGGTGCAAGAAGGCTAAATCCAAAATAAACAGCGTCGTACATTGACGGGGAACTTCGCCTTAAAATTTCAGATTCCCAACTTCCGTGTTTCCCGAGATAATAATTTTCCCCTTCGAAACTTTCATGGGGCTGTAAGTGATAATTGGACGCGCAATTTGCGGGTTCGTATGTGGGAAGGAAATACAACCGTACACTGCAGCCTTTTTGGCTTTTAGATTCTCGAGACAATAATTTCCCTGCTAAAATTTTCACGGAGCTGTAGGTGATAGCCGAGAGCGCGAGATTACTGAATTAGAATTTACAAGGTCGTACATGGGCAGAGGGTCATTACCCTAAAATTTCAGCTTCTCGCATTCCGTGGTTCCCGAGATAATAATTTACCCGCCAAGTTTTCACGGAGCCGGATGCGTTACCCGCGAGCAGGAGGAGGCCGAATTTGAGTTTGCAAGGTCATACGTGGGCAAGGGGTCATTATCCGAAAATTTTAGCTTCCTAGATTCGTGGTTCCCGTGATAATAATTTTGCCTGCCCAAACTTTTACGTGGCAGTGAGTGTTACCGATGGGCACGAGGAGGCTGAATTTAAATTTACGGGATCTGATATGGTGGCGACGTTCTCCTAAATTTTCAGC